GCCTGGGAGCTTGGGAGCCTGGGAGCTTGGGGGCCTGGGAGGCTGGGGGCCTGGGAGGCTGGGGGCCTGGGAGCCTGGGGGCCTGGGAGCGTGTGAGCCTGGGGGCCTGGGAGTCTGGGGGCCTGGGAGCCTGGGAGCTTGGGAGCCTGGGAGCTTGGGTGCCTGGGAGCCTGGGGGCCTGGGAGCCTGGGGGCCTGGGAGCCTGGCGACCTGGGAGCCTGGGGGCCCCGGAGCCTGGGGGCCTGGGAGCCTGGGGGCCTGGGAGCTTGGGAGCCGGGGGCCTGGGAGCCTGGGGGCCTGGGAGCCTGGGGGCCTGGGAGCCTGGGGGCCTGGGAGCTTGGGAGCCGGGGGCCTGGGAGCCTGGGGACCTGGGGGCCTGGGAGCCTGGCAACAGCTGTGCCCCACAACTACCTGCCTACATCAAACAAATCTGCCGTACTCTGACAGCCATATCGAAGTACGACAGCGTTTTGATGCCCCACGTAAAACAGATAAGAGCCCCGACCCTCGCCCCCATCTTACCTCCATTCCCGGCTGGACGTCGGCCCCATCTTCCGAGGCCTGCTGCACGTGCAGCACGTGGATGGGAACATGAGAATTAGGGCAGGCACATCAATTAGGGCAGGCACGTCAATTAGGGCAGGCACGTCAATGACGGAGTCGAAACATACACACCCCCCTCCCCCAACCAGCCCCAGCCACCCTCGATAGCATCAGGAACAAGAAAGAGGGCAAGGGGTAACGAATCCACAAAGAAAATCAACCCTGGCACAGCTGTGCCCCACAACTACCTGCCTGCATCAAACAAATCTGCCGTACTCCGATAGCCATATCGGAGTACGACAGCGTTTTGATGCCCCACGTAAAACACATAAGAGCCCTGACCCTCCCCCCCATCTTACCTCCATTCCCGGCTGGACGTCGGCCCCATCGTCCGAGGCCTGCTGCACGTGCAGCACGTGGATGGGAACATGAGAATTAGGGCAGGCACGTCAATTCGGGCAGGCACGTCAATTAGGGCAGGCACGTCAATAGGCAGCAGCAATGACGGAGGCGAAACATACACACACCCCTCCCCCAACCAGCCCCAGCCACCCTCCATAGCATCAGGAACAAGAAAGAGGGCAAGGGGTAACGAATCCACAAAGAAAATCGACCCTGGCACAGCTGTGCCCCACAACTACCTGCCTGCATCAAACAAATCTGCCGTACTCCGATAGCCATATCGGAGTACGACAGCGATTTGATGCCCCACGTAAAACACATAAGAGCCCTGACCCTCCCCCCCATCTTACCTCCATTCCCGGCTGGACGTCGGCCCCATCGTCCGAGGCCTGCTGCACGTGCAGCACGTGGATGGGAACATGAGAATTAGGGCAGGCACGTCAATTCGGGCAGGCACGTCAATTAGGGCAGGCACGTCAATGACGAAGGCGAAACATACACACACCCCTCCCCCAACCAGCCCCAGCCACCCTCCATAGCATCAGGAACAAGAAAGAGGGCAAGGGGTAACGAATCCACAAAGGAAAACGACCCTGGCACAGCTGTGCCCCACAACTACCTGCCTGCATCAAACAAATCTGCCGTACTCCGATAGCCATATCGGAGTACGACAGCGATTTGATGCCCCACGTAAAACACATAAGAGCCCTGACCCTCCCCCCCATCTTACCTCCATTCCCGGCTGGACGTCGGCCCCATCGTCCGAGGCCTGCTGCACGTGCAGCACGTGGATGGGAACATGAGAATTAGGGCAGGCACGTCAATTCGGGCAGGCACGTCAATTAGGGCAGGCACGTCAATGACGGAGGCGAAACATACACACACCCCTCCCCCAACCAGCCCCAGCCACCCTCCATAGCATCAGGAACAAGAAAGAGGGCAAGGGGTAACGAATCCACAAAGGAAAACGACCCTGGCACAGCTGTGCCCCACAACTACCTGCCTGCATCAAACAAATCTGCCGTACTCCGATAGCCATATCGGAGTACGACAGCGATTTGATGCCCCACGTAAAACACATAAGAGCCCTGACCCTCCCCCCCATCTTACCTCCATTCCCGGCTGGACGTCGGCCCCATCGTCCGAGGCCTGCTGCACGTGCAGCACGTGGATGGGAACATGAGAATTAGGGCAGG